GCTTTTCGGCTCTATTTCTCGTTCTCGCGATTTCGAGAGCAGACGAGACGTCACGTCACGTTACGGCTCGGCAACGGGAGAGAAATTCTCGGGCTACGCCCGTTAAAACTCTTGAACTGCGAAAAAAAATAGCGCCCCTTTTCATTTGGCTGCTGTCTTTCTTCGCCTCGCCCACGCGGCCAGCCTGAATTAACCCTTAGAGTCCATTACACTGATGGAGAGGGGTAAGGATCGATATTCGCGAGCTTAGTCTTACAATTAGAGAGGCAAATGACGACGAGCAACGTGTGATCGTGAGGAGCAGTCAGATTTTTGGAAAACTTTTAACATTGTGGAGGATGGATACTTCTTTGACAATAAAAAAATATTTTTAAATAAACGAATTAACCCTTAGAGTCCATTACACTGTTGGAGAGGGGTAAGGATCGATATTCGCGAGCTTAGTCTTACAATTAGAGAGGCAAATGAGGAACAGTCGAATTTTTGGGAAACTTTTAACATTGTGGAGGATACTTGTTTGACAATAAAAAAATATTTTTAAATAAACGAATTAACTCTTAGAGTCCATTACACTGATGGAGAAGGGTAGGGATCGATATTCGCGAGCTTAGTCTTATAATTAGAGGGGCAAATGACGACGAGAAATATGTTCGTTGATCACGAAGAGAAAGAGAAAGAATCAGATTTTTTGGAGACTTTTAATTTTGTGGCGATTGATTTTTTTTCAACGATAAAAAATATTTTTATACAAGTGAATTAACTTTAGTGTCCATTGCACTGATGTAGAAATCAATAATCAACTGCTGGTGTTACAGTTAGAATAAAAAATAATCATAAGGAACGTGTTCGTTGATTTTGAGGAGGAACAAATTTTTGAGAGAGTCTTAACATTATAGAAGATTCTTCTTCGACAATAAAAAATGTTTTTAAATAAGTGAATTAATCCTAATGCAATTAACTAAAAAGTTAGTCTTACGATTAAGGGGAAACGGACAATGAGAAACGTGTCTGTCGATTATTAATTAAAAAGGGAAGAAAGGGATTTTTAGAATGGTAACTATAGATGATCGAGGGATTAAAAATAACGAAGGGTCTCGCTTCGAGAATAGAATTTACAATTTCACATTCCTTTAGATACATCAAGCACGTTCAGATGCTAATAGATCTCGATCACGATTAATGAGCTACACTCCACTTCTAGCTAACGATTGAAGATTTCTCGTAGAAAATATTCTACGTGTGCCAAACATAAAACTTTCTAACAGAACGGAAAAATGTTTACAAAAATTTCTTTTACTACTAAACTAAATTGTGTAAGAAACACGGTAACTTGGATTTGTATTAACGTAGTTGAAATTAATGAAACAGAAATTTGTGTCTTCCTTGGTAAACCTTTGCCCACCCTGTTTCTTTCTAAAATAAACATACACTTTTTTTTTTTTAAATAGCGAAAACTTTGATGCTTCAATTGATACTCTACGAGGAGTAGAAAAAAAAAAAATAAATAAAAAGAAACGTAGGAGGAAAGATAAAAAAAAAGAGGGAAAAAGGATGTTTAGGTGCAAACGATCGAAGGGAGGGAGGCCAGTGGAAAATGAAATCTCGTAGGCGAGAGCGTGAAGAAATGCACGGAAAGGGGCCTGATGCTTTTGTTCGGCCTCTCGCGTCTCCTTCCGTGGCATCGATGGAGAATAGGTATCGAGAATGAGATTGCGGAGGATGGTGGATCCTTTTGTGCGCGCGGCTGTGATTAATGGCGGCACAATAGCCGCATGCCGTGGGATATAATCGTATACGCGACACACACACACACACAC